TGAGAGCTTTTTTCTCTTCTTCCGTTAGGCCTCACAGGTGGAAAAACAGGTCCATTCATGTTATAGGAATCAGTTCACCCAAAGGACACACTCTGGTCATGGTTGGCAATTTTAGGGAACCAATAGAACACAGCCCCTGGGGGGCCTGAGGGTCCCTTGCTTTCCTGAAGCTTCCCTCGTTCCTTCTCGCCATTTTCCCACCTTCTCTCCCTGTATTCACTCCTTGCTCTTCTCATGAACTGGCACCAAGAGATGGACGAGCAAGTTCCTACTGCTCTCCGTGAGAACACTCTATTCTTCTTCTGCACCAAGCTTCTCATTCTGCTTGGTTGAGGTTGTATGGTTTTATTTTTTTTTTTCTGTATTTCATGCTGATCTGGACCTCCAGGGTCTCTGGGCTAACTCAGAGACCTCTGGGCTGTTCTCTGGCCCCCTGTATCTTCTGGCTCTGTTTCAAGAGGTTGGCACTAACCAAGCATTGTAAAGACTAGAGACACTTGCACCTGCTGGACTTCCCCTCCTTCCCTCAGAAGAGAACTCACACTGGCGTTGGCTAGGGGCTTGATGGCCCCTACCTGGAATGCTTGCAGGTACACTGGCCTCCACTCCACCATGGGGCTCCCACACATGCCTCCCTTTCCAGCCGGTCACCTGCACTCACACAGCTTGGGCATGGCACTTGGCGGGTGTGTTTGAAGCTGAATGGATAGACAAGTCCCTCTGTAGGAAGAGAAGCTCAGAGAAGTAATGTGTCTGCCTCTTCATGAATTCTAAAAGAATTTGCAGAGATGAAAATGGTTGTCTTGATTTGGAAGAATCAAGAGCATTAGCACAATTTTCCTTTATATGTTTTCTCTGTTTTAGAATATTTTTTTCCAACTGAAAACAAGAACGCTAAGAAGAATAGATGCGGAGAAACAGCCCTTACTTTCTCAATGACTGGAGGCAAGTGGCTTTCCTAGAAGGTGGGTTCCTTGTTATTCATGAGGGGTCAATTCCCACGGGGCCCCAGGTAGAAATGTAAGTTTGAGAGTGAAGGCCTGGAGCCAGTCTGTTCCAGAGTGCATCTGCTAAAATCTGATCTTTACTTGGCAATAGCTTCCAGGTCTAAGAAGATGCTGTGTGGCAAAGGCTACCTGAGAGGTAAGCGAAACCTCGAAGGAAGGTACTTCACTTGGGAGCAAGTCGGTCCAACCCCAAAACCTGCCTGGACCACATTCCAAGAACCCAAGGACCCAGCCCTGCTCTGTGCCTCTGATATTTCCTGGTGTTTCAGGCAACTTGGGCCAAATTCTCAGTGTGACTCTCTGGGTAGGTCCTGGGCTCTGATATAGAGGTAGGGCAGCAGACAGAAGGAAATGGATTACTCTCAGGGCTGAACAGGGAAATGACTAAACTAGAAGCAAGCTTCACAGCCTGTGAATGTCGCCTCTTTTCTTCTGAGCCAGTCTGCTCTTGGCCTTTCCAGGTCTGTCCTGGGAGCCACCCTGCTCCCCACAGAGATCAAAAGGTTTCTGGCCTTGAGGACTCACAGATGCTGCTCCCTTCACCTGTCGAGCCTTTTCTACCTCCTCCAGCACCCCTGTCAGCCTCTCTCAAGTCTTCTAGAACTCACTGCCAGGGTCTACTTCCTTCTACACTGGATGCCCCCTACCCGAGTGCCTCCAACTCTTAGTATGGATTTCCTTTGTACTTGCAGCCATCCCGGTGTGTGGAGCAGTGCCTGACACTCCTCAGAGACAACCAGGGGCCCAGTGCATGCTGTTCCTCCCCCAGTTAACCATTGCTCACTCACTCAAGGGCCACTTCCTCCCACAAGCTCCCCTAACCCAGGGCAAGCCAGGCCGTGTTGGTTGATGTTCTTGGGGATCCCTGCTCCCTCCTTATAGCACCAAACCTCATTGCACATTTATTATGTGGACGTCTGGTTGATCCCTGTCTCCTGCAATCCATGCTAAGCTTCAAAAAGTCAGGGATCACTCCCACCCTACTCCCATGCTATACCTGCTATCTGGTGGTTACTGAGCTGATACTGATGCGAGGACTGCGGGCAGGGTTCTCTACCAGCATTACATATTCAGTGCTCCCAACAGATGCTCAGAAATGCAGGGCTGTCCCTACCCCAACCTTGGTGTAGAGTGACTGGCACATGCCTCACTGCTCAGCATTTGAGAGAGCAGGAAAATGCCAGTGCAGGCCCCATGCCAGTGTCTACTGACTCTGCATGTGATGCCCCTTTTATCTGGAACTCACCCAAGGGAGCCAGGACTCGCAGACCCTCCACCCTCTGTCCTTGTCCCTGAAACACCCAGACAACACCAGCCCCTGCTGCATGCTCGGAATCTCAGAGCTTGGTGATGACAGTCCCAGGTGGTGGGGAATACCTAGCTTCCCTGACACTAGGAAACATGAACCTAGAAAAGGTTGGGAAAGAGAGAAAGTTCATGCATTGGCTCATTGTCATTGGAGGGAGCAGGGTACAGGTGCCCCATTGGCCAGTCAAGGGACTACTCTCTGGGAGCAAACATCTCCTCTAGTTTTCGAGGGTACACATTTTATGCAGTTGGCACAGAGGCAGTGGGGACAGTCTGCCTTCTGGAGTCAAGAGGTCCTGTTGCCTTCCCTGTGGCCTGGGCACATCCCCTCTTCACTCTGAGCCTGTACGGAGGGGTGACACTTATTAGAAAGGCTCTGTGGGATTAAATGAGGTCATGTGGACAAAGTGTCCATGGTGGTCACTTAGCTGGACACTTAGTGGGCTACAGCCAAGGTGGCTGTAACTGTCATTAACCCATCTGTCCAGCAGGCGACCTCATTGCTTAATGTCTTAGGTGGAAATCCAGGGCTGCGGCGACTGCGAATCAAGTAAGATCCCTTGGGATAAATGCTGGCCCACAGTAGCTCTCTGGGCTTGGGTTTCACTCAGCCTCCCCAGCCATAAACAGAGACGATTACCTCCAACCTTCTGTTGCTCCCTCTCAGGGTCCAGAGCCCTCTCAGCTGAGCAGGGATGCCTCTGGGAATAAGTCCAGTGTCATGCTTGGGATGACCACTCTAAATTGGGTTTGGGTGGCTGCCAATGGTCTGCAGGGAGCACAGCATTTGATTGGCAATTGTCCATCTTAAGTGTGGTCTTAAGTACTTGTAGCTTTGGAGGCAGGCACAGAATCATTCAAGTTCAGTGCTGAGCTTGACCCCTCACCAGCCCTGTGGCCTTGGGCAGCTAATTAACCTTTCTGAGCCTCTTTGACATTATCATTAAAATGGGAGTCCTTCTACCCTGGCCGGCGTGGCTCAGTGGATTAAGTGCCAGCCTGCAAACTAAGGGGTAGCCCGTTTGATTCCTAATCAGAGCACAAGCCTGGGTTTTGGGCCAGGTCCGCAGTAGAGGGCACGTGAGAGGCAACCACACACTGATGTTTCTCTTCCTCTCTTTCTCCCCCTTTCTCCTCTCTCTAAAAAGAAATAAATAAAATCTTTTAAAAAGGAGTTGATAAGACCTTTGTTTTAAATTAGTGAGTACCAATAGGGAAATTGCTGCACAGTTACTGGGTTTTGTTTATTTGTTTGTTTGTTTGTTTTTATTATTTTGGGGGGATTTGATTGAAGGTTGTGGCTTTCTTTGGCCACCTTGTTTGAGGCGTGTCCCCACTGAAGTCCTTCGGGAGGGAGAAGATGTCCTCTCAGGCCTGACTGACTCAGTGTAAGATGCCTGGGTGGGTGAGGACTTGGGGGAGGCCCTGACAATTTCACAGCCCATGTGCCCGTGAGGCTCATCCCTAGAGAGAGGTCCTGCTCTGGGGACCTGGTAGGAGAGGGGGGGCAATAGGCCCTGGGACCATGGTCCTCTGGATCACAGGCCACCTAAGCTACAGCCCCAAGGAAGTTCACAGGAGTGCAGTGATTTTCTCATCTCAAATGCCTGGTCCCTCTCCAAAAGAGCCCAGAATGGGTACCTCGTAGGAAAGGATTTTTGTTTTGGAAAATGTGTTCAGGAATTTACTTCCACTAGAGAGAGGAGAGCTGGGTGCTCAGCTACCAGCTGTGTGGAGAGCTATGGAAGTGCTGCTGGGAGTCTGGGGGGGGTGGGGCATGCCCTGGGAATAGTACCTAAAGTAAAATAAACAGGCAACTACTCGAGTGTCATACTTGTTTAAAAAAAAATAAAGGAAGAAGAGGAAGGAGGAGAAGGAGAAGAAGAAAAGAAATTGTGGTCCAGAAAACAAAACAAACAAAAATACAAAAATGAAAACAAGAACAAGCCCCACAGTTAAGAGGCAATCAAAGCGCACGAGGAAGAGGAACAATCCCATCGCTGAGGCACCCGCTGCCTCCTTTGAGTGAAAGGGATAAATCTGATCTAAGAGTGTCACCATGTCCCTTGGGTTCAATGCAGATCTGCCCCAGCAGGAGTAGCAGCACCAGCAGCCCTCCTCCGGGGCTGGCATGGCTTGAGAGCGTCCTACCCTGAGACGAACAGACTCACAGCTAAAGCTCACAGTGATCTAAGGTTGCATGCGGTTTTCAGCACAGAAAGAAGGGGTGGATGGTCAGAGATGTTCTTGGCACTGCTCTTGCAGATCCCTCAGGGAGCAGGACTAGGAACTTGGCCCACCGTGAGCCTTACTCGGAGGTCGCGAATAATAACGCACCCCCGCAGAAATACGAAGGGACCCAACTTAAGAGTTAAAGAAACAGCACCTCTAAGGGCGCCACAGTGAGGAATTTGGGGACGTAGCATTCCTAAGTGTTGGTGATCACCTGAGAAGAGTGCACAAAATAAGTGGCTTATTCTTGTTCTCCGAAGGAGGTGGGTCGCAGGACAAGCCCCCAGACCTGGTTCCACAGCCGCTATGCGCCCTCTGAGTGGTCAGGGCGGGGTCAGCAGCGCGCCACCCCCCTCCCCAATCAAGTACCTTAGGGCGCGCCCCGCGGGAAGTCAGGCGGGGCGGGCGGCGGCCTGGGCTCCTCCCTCCTCCTCCCTGCACCCCTGCTCTTAATCCGCGCGCTCGGGGGCGCCCGGCCACTGGCCTCTGCCTAGCCAGCCAGCGGTCATCGCCGGAGCCGCGCGTCCAGTCCCGAGGCCGACGCAGCCCTCCGGCATGGCCCCTGCAGCAGCATCAGGAGGCAGCTCCCTGCCCAGCGGCCTCTCAGTCTTCACCACCTTCCCTGACCTGCTCTTCATCCTTGAGTTTGTGAGTGGATCGCGTGGCCGCGCTGGGGAGTGGGAAGGATGGGCGGTCCGCTCCAGATTCGCGAGCTGCACTGGTCCGGCCACAGGGGAGTAGGGGTGCCAGGGTGAGGAGGGTCTCCGCCTCCCAGACCCCTCCACCCTTCCAGTCGTTCAGCCCCTTCTGGACCAACGACAATGGGGAATGCAGACTTAGAAGGAAAACCAAATACTCAGCCTGGGTCAGATGTTGGAAGCGGGCCAGGTCGCTTAGTTGCGCGCAGGTTCCAAAGCTGCACCCTGGACGGGCTTGCATGGGCCAAGCAAAAGAAGCCCCTATTGTAAAGCAATGTCTGCAGAGAGGTGCCCAGCTTTTTCTAGAACGTTAGGATTTCGTTTTTTAAAGTCTGGAAAAGAAATCTAAGTTCACCTGTTGAGATTTCGAGGTGGGGCTTGTGTCATTAAAGAAGCTGAATCCAGATCATTCTCTTCTGGCCTTTGAAAGTTTCTGGCAAGTGAATGTATTTAAGACAGTCTTTGATATGGAAATAATAAAACAGGCCATGGTTTGCTCCACCAGTCATTCTGCCCTTTGTGTGTGTGTGTGTGTGTGTGTGTGTGTGTGTGTGAGAGAGAGAGAGAGAGAGAGAGAGAGAGAGAGAGAGAGGTGGGGGTGGGGTGCTGGCAGAGCGAACCTGCGAATCTGTGAACCTGCGAACCTGTGTCTGGGCTGACCTTGAACAGTCAAGGCCTCTGCACCTGCCATTGGTCTCTCCTTCCCCAGTGGCTGCAGGATGGTAAGGTGCTCCCCAGTGGCCACCTGCTCTTACCTGGAAGGGGGCCAGCTGTGTTTGTATGTGACAGCCACAGGGCCTCCTTCCCTGCACCCCTGCCTCAGAGGGGACTGCCTAGAGAGCTGGCTGGGGGAAAAGTGGCCTGATGGAGGTCAAGGGTGATCAGCAAGGGAAGCAGGTTCTGTCATCCGTGGCGGATTTGGTGGCAGCAGCTCACTGAACTCGTGAGAGTTGAGCCCAAACCTGGGGTATCCAGAGGGAGTTGGAATCCTGGGGCAGGCCAGAACCAAGGAAGTGACGTGTAGAAGAAGCCCTGGACACCCCTGAGCCCAGCCCCCTTGATGTGTGGATGGGGACACACACCGCCTCTGGAGTGGGGAGGGGCTTGTGCCGCTGGAACATTCTTTCCCCAAATGGCTCATTCCATGCTTCTATTCAGCACTCAGCCTGTGCTTGCCTCAGGCTGGGTCACTGAAAATCCGAGCATGCAGTGCTCATTTGGAATGGCAGTTCCTTCAGAGGCCACTGCACTGTTTTTACAGAGGGAGAGTTTCATGGCGAAAAGAGATGATGGCTAATGGTGAGGTGTGATGGGGCAGACAGTTTTAAACAACAAAAGCTCTTCTTAGTGTCTCTTAAATTGCTCCAATACGTGCTTCACTCTGCCTGTGCAGTTGTTTGGGGAGCATTATAACAAGAACCTTAAGAGAGCGTGTTAGTTGGACTTCGTGCAGAGGATTCTGGTGCGCCCTCCTTCTCTTGCCTTCATAAGAACTCAGGACTCAGGTGGCAACAGGTGGTGCCTGGTATCCAGCGCCTGGCTTCATAAGGACAGCCTCCAGGTGTTGTCTGCTTCTTGTTGGTATGGCAGCTTAGGGGAAGAAGTGCCTCTGAGGGTAGGAACAGCCCATCAGGCAGGGTGATCTTCAGAGGAGGGAACAGGAGGACCCCTCCACCCCCATCAAGCCGTCAAGTGAAAGAAGAGAACGGGGTGTGGGAAATAGAATCAGAGCCAGGGATTAGTGGAAACTTACTCCTCCAGGGCTGTATGTGACCTGCGACAGGGCTTCCGGAAGAAGTAATTTTTCCTTGCCAGAACACTTCCTTCTCAGTTGCCTTGGAAGTTATCTTTTCTCTTCTGCCTCAGCCCCTGCTCCCTCTGTCCTTCCCCTGAGAGGCTGCTGCATCATTGTCTTCTCTCTCTCCCTCTCTAGGTTGGGGTGGGCTCCCAGGGGGCTGCGAAAAGAAGGTGGACGCAGTCCTGTGAGTTTTCCTCTGCAGGACTGCAAATACAAAGCTGTCTGTGTCTTGATGCGCAGGGAAAGTAGAGGATTAAAGGACCGAGGAGGTGCTGCCACCCTGGGAGGGATTTTTAAATTTTGGACTGTTACAACTCCACGACAAAAAGATAAACAACCCAGTTAAAAATGGGCAAAGGACAGGAACAGATACTTCTCCAAAGAATACACGCACACGGCCAACAAGCCCATGTAAAGACGCTCAACATCATTAAGGAAAACAGTATCAAAACCACAGTGAGGTGCCACTGCCCAGGGTGTGGAGAAAACGGAATCCTCATTCGCCGCTGATGGGAAGGTAAAATGACTGTATGACCCAGCAGCTCCACGCCTAGGTTCGTAACCAAAGGAACCGAAGGCAGGAGCTTGACCAGGTGCATGGACAGATGTGTTTACAATGGCACCTTCACAATGACCAGCAGGTAGAGATGGCCCAGAGGTCCATCGAAGATGAGCAGTAAACGAATTGTGATATACCCAACAATGACGTATTTTTCAGCCATCGAAAGGAATCAAGTACTAATACATACTATAAAGTTGATAAACCTTGAAAACACCATGCTAAGTAGAGGAAGCCAGACAGAAAAAGTCACCTATTGTCTGGTTCCATTCACATAAAATGCCCAGAATAGGTAAGTGTGTGGAGACGGAACACACACTGGTGGTGGCCAGGGGCTGAGGGGAGGAGAACAGAGAGCAACTGCTGAATGGGGCGGGTTTGCTTTTTCAGTAATGGGAGCGTCTGGCGATCGATGGCCATGACAGTGGCCCAGCATTGTCAATATATTAAAAGTCGTTGAATTGGTTAGCTTAAAATTGTTAATTTTATGCTGTTTGTATATCATTTCAATTTTTAAAAATTGTAAAAATATTTCAAATATTATAGGAGAGTATATATACCCACTTGTGCTTTAATAGGCATCCAGGTAATTATTACTCGGCTTTGTCAAATCTTAATATTTTGCCTTATTACTTTTAGTATTAAGGAAATAGAGCTTCTCAGATGGCATCGAAGCCCCCTGGATATGCTATTACAAGGTGCTGCTGCCCACATCCCCAGGGCTCCCCTCAGGCTAAATGCAGTGAGCTGCACACGGCCCTGCCCCACCTGTCTGCACGCTTCATGCACAGTATCCGCCCGCACAAGCCTTCCTGCAGCACGCCTTCTGTGCGCCGTCCTCGGAGGTTTACACCTGTTCACACCAGGTTGTTCTGATGTGCACACCCCAGGAGCAGACTCCCTGGGCTGCTGCTGAAACTTAACGAGGCTCAGGAATCCCACTTGCTCAGCCTCTTCTAAGACCCTGGCCTATTTTGTATTCTTTTATAAAGAAGGTCCCCAAATTGTATAAGCTTTGGGCTAACCCAGGACCTTCCTGAATCTTACCAGCACCCTATGGAAATCACCATTGTTCCTTATCCTTGCCACACTTGGTAAAGTTTTCTGCTTGTCCATTGGGTGTGAAATGCTTGATTATTTTTTTATAAACTATGCAGTCCAGTGAGTTGTTGATTAACCACAATTCACGTTCCCATGCCTGACCTCCCAGTAGCCTGGGAGGTGCAGACACCAAACCTCAGCTTCCAGGGGTAAGTAACCAGGGTGGAGCTCACTGTCCTTCCAAGTCAGGGAGCAGGGATGGGAGGTGGCTCAGGGTAGGGCGTGGCAGCCTCACCCAGGCCCAGCACCCTTACCCCAGAGCTCCTGACCTCTGAAGTCTGCAGGGTCCTCACAGTGAGCATCCCCAGAGCCACAGGGGCCATGCTGCTGTTGCAGGCCCTGGGGGTACAGGTGCACCCTCTGTGGACCTAGGGGGAATGTTCAACGTCTCCCCTGCCCCAACAAGTCACCCCAGGGCTCTGCCTCTGTCGTGACCCCCATCCCCACCTTATGGGGGACTTTTCCTATTGAAGCCACAGTCTCTTTTTCCTCCCCCTCTTTTATCAAGGGCTTCTTCATAACACTCCAGTCACCATTCACATAACAGGGTACTAACATGGGGAGGTTTTTGTCTCAGCTCTAGCCAGAACCCTAACAGGAAGCCTCTCACAAAGTGCCAGGAAAGACCCTCCCCTACACACACTTTTAAAAGTTGTAAAGGAAGTCCTGGAAACAGGTAATGAAATTACTAACCGACAGCCTCCTCCCAGCCTACATAAGAAGTGGAGCCACTGAAAGCATGGGTGGGATCCAGAGAGAACATTCTTTGAAAAGAGCATGCCGGGGGTGCCACCCACCTATCTGGGGCTGCATTTCCCTGCTTGCATGTGGGGAGAGGCAGTGCTTTGTAGGCTGTACTTCTGGGTGGGGGTGGAGTGGAGGGAGCCACTTGGGATCAGTTCACAGCTAACTGGACATAGTAGTCTCATTACTAAAATGAGAGTGGGTCTGTCACCTAAAGTAATTGGGGACCTCTTTGTATTTGATAGTGACCAGACAAGTCCTGGGACCTGCCCTGGATTTTCACCTGCCAGGATTGGGCACTGGGGTTCTGGTGGGGCACAATGATACCGTTGTTTTCTGGAGGGGGTCCCTGTTCTGGTGACATTGAGAAGGCAGCATCTGAACTCCTAGGAGAGGAGAGATGCATAGTCACAGAAACCCAGTTTCGCAGAGCTGACAGGAAACCGAGACTCATAGAGGAGAGGCAGTGTGCCGGGTAACTTGTTCTCTAGGGTGGCACTTCCTGCAGGGGCAGCAAATCGCGTGCAGGGTTTGCATTTCCTCAGACACCCACGATGCACTTTTGTCTATAGCACAAGGGTCCACGACCGGTGGCCCTGCCCACCTGGCAGCCCCGGGCAAGGCCTGGCTCACTTCTCCCGCCTGAGAATAAAGGGACGGCTAAGAGCCATCGGGGAACGCACAATCTCCTGGGCCCGCTTGTTAAAAAATACACTGGGGAGTCTGAGACACTGGATCCAGGGCAGAT